ATAGATTCCTTTTAATGTAGAAATAAACTCACCAACAGTTACTTTCCCTTTGTTAAACAGCCCATTAAGATCTATTGATTTGTTTAAATCTATATCTTGTAGGTCAGAATATTTTTTGTAATCTATTGGTTGATTTTCACTTGATGACAAAGGATTTAAATCTGAAAAAAAGTGTCCATAAAATCTGAAGAAATTTGCTAATTCTGCAATTAAATTATCTGCCTTTATACTTTGTGCATTATAAGAAGTCGCTGCATTGTTATTCTCTACATCACCCGAGAAAACTCCATACCAATCTTCCCCTATTGATTTATCATCTTGAAGGTACTGCTGGTATATTTCCTCAACAAATTCTACGTTTTCGCTATAAAGACAGGAGTTGTTTTTCAAATTAGTCATACATTAGGCATAAAATACATATAAGTATAGCGCAAATTAAAAAAAATAACTCCTTTAATTTTTAACTGTACCTAGGCTCTGTGAACCAAAATTTGGAGAAATAAGAAAAAAGTGGTAGTTTAACCGTGAATAAATAAGGAGAAACTACCAAATGAAATATTACATACAAGAAACAAAATGGAAACAAATTTTTGCAAATTTGAAAAGCGTAAAAGGAATACACAGTAAAAACGAAGATCGGATAAGAAGGTTCATGGAATCAGTGTGGTACATGGCTCGAAGTGGTTGCCAATGGCGACTTTTACCAGAAATATATGGCAATTACAGAAGCGTACATAAGAGATTCAAAAAGTGGTGTGAAAAGGGAATTTGGGAAAAGCTGCTCAAATATACACAAGATCCAGATTTGGAAGTGCAAATGATAGATGGAACAATCGTTAGAGCACATGCTTGTGCGGCTGGATACAAGAAGGATACCGGAGCTCAAGAAGCACTGGGACGCAGCAAAGGTGGCTTTACAACAAAGATACATGCTCTTGTTGATGCTCTGGGAAATCCGCTTAAATTTACTTTAACTGCTGGTCAAAGGAACGATATTACACAGGCTGAAGCATTAACTGAGAATGTCTCAAATTCAGTTGTGGTGGCCGATAAGGGCTATGATAGTAATGCTTTTATTGTGGGTCTTGAGAATAAAGGGTGTGAGGTTGTTATTCCTCCGAAGCGTAACCGAAAAGTGCAGAGGTATTATGATGAGCATATTTATAAAGAACGTCATTTGATTGAATGCTTTTTCGGCAAAATAAAACATTTTAGGCGGATTTTTTCAAGATTTGATAAGACTGCCACGGTTTATTTAGGCTTTTTAAACTTCGTTGGGGCCCTCATATGGCTTGCTTAAAATTTTGGTTCACAGAGCCTAGGA